ATGGGGAGCTGCTATTTTACTTAAAAGACAGCTTCCGTTTCAATATCTCAACCGATGATCTATTTCGTACCAATTGTCAACTGCTACTACAAAAATTGGCTGCTGATGACGTAAAATAGAGCATGGCTTTGCTGAAAAAAAAGTTAAAAAAAACTCTGAATTTAACAAAAAACCACGTGTTTCCAAGGTTGATTCAATTTAGAAAATGTTTCCTCAACAGCAGAAACCACCAAAATTATCTAACTACGAAACAATCTTTCAAAAATTTTATAGTATTTTTGAAACGAAAGGTTTCAGAAAACTTTATCTATCAAATGATGTTATAACATGATTTACAATAAATCAATCTAAAATGATCATTAACATTCGTTAAGTTAAATTTATTACGTTGTATATACTGTTAATATTTCTTGAAATTAATAAAAACAATTCGAAACTAGCATATACCTTACCAATTTTCCTTTGTTTGACATTGGTTAAGAAAATTGTAACAGCTGAGATTTAAACGTTTTTTCACTGAGCTTGACCACATATATCTTGATTTGAAAGAATTAACCTTGAACTTTAGTATATGGTGCAAACTTTTTGTCAATTGTTCAAGCGTAGCAACAAGAACTTGTCAAAAAACCACATTTGTTTCCAGAATTGATTCAATTCAGAAAATGTTTCCTCAAAAGCACAAAGCGCCAGAATTATCTACTTAGCAAACAATCTTACCAATATTTCATAGTATCTTTGACACAAAAGGTTTCAAAATTCATGAGACCAAAATTATTAGATATGCCTAATTAGAGAAGATTTCAAACCTGGTTTCAAAAAATTTCCTATCTATCAAATTATGTTATAACATGATTTGCAATAGTTCATTCATAACTGATCATTCATATTCATTGAGGTTAATTTTAATGGGGAGCATATACTGTAAATAATTTTGAATATATTATAAACAATTCGAATCTATTATATTCATGTACATTATCATTTTTCCTTTGTTTCATCTTTCTTAAGAATTTAGTAAAAGAAAATATTAAGCGTTTTTCCTAGACTACATAGCGGCAAAGCAAACGCCTGTTTTTCACTGAGCTTGATCACATATATCTTTGAAGAACTTGAAAGAAACATTTGAAAGAATGAACCTTAAATTTTAGTATATGGTGCAATTTTTGTCAACGCAAAATAAATGCTAGTTTGCAAATCAGTGGCTCAGCATACTCGATTTTTCAAAAATTAAGATTACTTTCAGTCTTTTAATCAAACTCAAGTAGATATTGTGGCAGCTTAGATGATCTCGACTTTCATCGGTCCTTGCCCTTCAGGTTTCGGAAGTTAATGTAACCAGACATAGAGTAATCATTTAGAAAATCTACAAATTTTTCTATTTTGGTAAATTTAACCTAACACATACAACTTTTAGGAGCAGACGCATGATTCTTACTTTCTTTGCCCTGGGTGTGTATTGTTTTCTTCGACTGTTCTCTTTGAGTTCTTGAAATTCAAAAAATACTACTACCTAATAAGTGGCATAAGTTACCGCAGACGCACACTATTGTCTTGAAGCTGACAATGTTTTAAAAAAGATAAGTTTGAAACCAATTTAGTTGAAAAAACATAGCCAACTGAATTTTGGAAAAGATTAATGAACGCAAGGAAACAGAACAAACTGATGTTTTTGAAAAAAAAAACTTAACTTTCAAAGTTGAAAAACAATTGTATGGCCTAAAAGCTCGTTGAATTTCAGCAACACTTCTATATTTGCTTCATTTGATAAAATAAACAGAATTTAAGAAAACTGGATCAATAGGTAAAAATTTTACTTCGCTGGGAAATATGATAATTATATTTAACCGTAGAAGCTAGAAGTCGATCACTTTTTTGTTAGCTTTATACTTTGGCTGATCGATGGTGGAGGTTGCCTATCTTTCCATGAAGGAAATGAACTGAACTTAAAATCAAAAGTCTAACCGCGGGAAAAACCTAACTCAAAACCCAAACAGCAAATTTTGACGAGAACAAGTTTTAGGACTTTCTCGATAAAAAATAACCATGACCTATATAAGTGTATTCACTACGTTCATGCATCCTAATAACTTTGCCTGTTAGACAAATGTTCTGATGTGATAACGCTTGCAAATTAAAAGCGGAACTATGCGACAAATAACAAAAATAAAACATTGTCAATCGAAGATTGGAAAAGAGTAATGAACGCAAGTAAACATTAAAAAACACTGACTGTGTTGAAAAAATCTCAACTTTCGAATTTCAAAAAAAAATTAGATGCACTTTAATAAAATGCCCTTTGATTTAAATAAAAATTTCAGAATTAGGTAGGCAAATTCAATTTCATATAACGTTTTTTTATGACTTGAAAAATTTTCAAAAAAATTAAGTTTTTAAAATTTTACAAATTTTGTTATTAACAACCCTGTCTTGGGTGGCTGTGGGGGTACTTTTAGGAGCTGCAAATCTTGCGTCCAAATATGTCTGCTCAAAACGTTTAGCTTCCGAGATATGACGTTTTTTTTTGATTTTTTGAATTTATATTTAAAAAGTTTCGAAAATTTTGATATTAGCATTTCTATGTTGGGGTGCTCTCAGGTTCTTCCAGAAGTTGCAAATCTTGCCTCCTGATTTGAGTGCGTAAATTCTGTTCGGCTTCAAATATATGAAGTTTTTTATGTTTTTGAAAAATTTCCAGAAAATTTGGATTTAAAAACTTTCGCCAATTTTGATATTAGAATGTACTCCAGAAGTTGCAAATCTTGCGTCCAGATATGTCTGCTCAAAACGTTTAAGCTTCCGAGATGAGAGGTTTTTATAATTTTTCCTAGAACTTAGATGTTAAATTTGACAAAAGTTGAAATTCTCAACTCCGTAGTGCGAGGTGCTGCCAGGTTACTCTCAGTCGTAAAAAATCTTGCCTCCAAACAGGATTTCCCAAATCTTTTTAGTTTCCGAGATATGACGTTTATTTATTGTTTTCTCAAAAATTTTCAGTAAACTAAGATTTCCAAAATTTGAAATTCCCAAACCTGTAGTCAGGTGTTGTCGAGGTACTCTCATTGAATGCAAAACTTGGCTACAAAGGTGACGGCTCAACTGCTATTGGTTTCCGAGATATGACGTTCTTGAATTTTTTCAAAAAATTTCAGAAAAATTTGAATTAAAAAAATTTCAACCTTATAATGGCGTGATCTCAGGGTTCCCTCAGAGGTTGCAGTTCTTTCCTCCAAGTTTGACTGCTCAAATCATCTCAATTGTCGAAACATACAGTCAAGCAGTATGTAAAGCAGCTCTTAAGTGGAGTCGATGACGGATATACTAAATCAGACTTAATTCTTACGAATGAAATAGAAGGTGTCAATGAACGTAGTTGAGACTCGTATATCGGTCGCAAGGTTTTTTAAGGAATAAGCCCTCGAATTTTATAAACGCTCAAATTTTCTTTTTTTTAAGTTCAAGTCATTTTCTTTTTTTAAATTATGGAAATTCAACTATGGAACAGCAAAAATATAAAGGTCAGAATAAAATGTGATCGATTTCTATTTTCGAAAGTTGATTTCAGATTTGAGATTTTCCAGTGCAATAAAAAAATCATCTATTGCTCCAGTGTTTAGTGGAATAAAAATGGTCCGGTGGAATAAAAAGTCATTATTGGTCCCTTGCGAGCGTAGTGTATTAGTACGAACCTTCTTTTATTCTAATTTAGTTTATAAATAAAGTGTTCAATAAAAGTGTTCATTTATTTGGTGGTACTTGCAATAATCCTATCTATAGCATTGGCGTTTTCATAGCATATGTTCTCTGCTTTATTTCTGGTAGTGTTTGTGGTTTATTAAGCGTCCGACTAGTTATTAAGCTGAGTAGTTAGTGCGTGAGACTCATAATCTCTAGGTCGCAGATCGAATCCTAAGGGTAGCCGACTTTTTACTAAATCGAGGCTCATTGCACTTTAAAGAGCTGTTTTTTTTTGTCGTTCTCACTTCGCGTCCGTGTCTCAAACTGGGTTAAATTGATCCATAAAACGTTTATCATAGTTTTTTTTGAAATTCGAACTTTAACGCCATATAATTTTTAGCCAAAACGCAAATCGGTTTTTTTTCTCTTTACTTGGCTATTGAATTATTCTCCAACTAGTATTTTTATCAGAAAAGATTTAGCTTTTTACTTTTCAACTAGCCAATTTCAGCGGAGTATATCCAGCTGTGAGTGTATATCCAGCTCTGAGTGTCAAATTCAAAATATCTTTGATCTGCGATTTTAAGGTTATTAAGAGTCGATGATCACAGTGGAGACTTAAGTAGGTCGTGTTGATTTTTTTTCAGAATACCTAAACTATTTTAGCTCAATTTTGATTTTTGGCGTTATGATTTTTTTTTAAGTTTCAGTTCAATTCCTTTGTTAAAAGGAATGGAAAGTCCATTATCGAACAGCAAAAGTGTTTAGGTCACGAAAAATGTGATTGAAATCTAGTTTCTGAAGTTGATTTCAGATTTCCCAGCCAAATAAAAAGCTTATGTTATGATTCAGCTTTCAAACTGAAGTAATTTCATCAAAAAAGTGTCAATCTTAAATTGATCTTGAAATTCAAGAAGCGTTAGGGCCATATGTTGAAATTCATCAGTTGAACTTTAATGATAAAACAAGTCAGAATTTTAATCGGTTTCCTTGCGTTATTTGTGGGGTTTTGAAATCTGCCATTTGATCAGCTGGTGCATAATAAATTCGCGTTGTATTTGGTTCTTTTAACACTTAAGTGGCGAAACAATTGGGCTCAGAAATTGTCCCAATCTCAATTGAATCAAGCAATTTGTTCTTATCGATTTTAAAATAGTCTGAATTTTTTGAAATCTTATGCTTGTGAAAGCGTACGAAGACTCGGTTTCCACTAGCGCTATTTGTGATTTTAATTGTGATGTTCTGAAAACGTTGTAGAACATAACCAATAAGTCTGTTCGTGTTTTTGATCCGCAGCAACTTAGAAGTTCGTTTCTTTTTTGCAGGTGTATCTTTGACCTGCAGTACAGAGCGTGAGTGTCCCCTGTGTAGAGAGAAGAGTGTGCTAGTTGCATTGTCACTGGGAGACGAACCCGCATTCCACATGGACAGTGAGGAACCCACTTATGCATTCAACCCATGTGGACACACTTGCTCATATGCCACTGCAAAGTAAGAACTGTTACATAATCATTACTGCTAAGTAAGTTAAAAACGATTACATAATCAGTACTGCAATGTTAAAAACTGTTACATAATCATTTCTTCAAAGTTACCAACTGTTACATAATCATTACTACAAAGTTAAAAACTGTTACATAATCATTACTGCAAATTACTAATTTTTACATCAATTATTACGTAAAAGAAATGAAAAAATATGAGCGAAAGAGGAAAAAGCGAAAACTATATCAGTGCCACTTTTGATTTCATAACTGCCAGCGGCTGTAGCCATACGTGGACATTTGCTATTGCGAAGACAGACTGATTACGTAACTTTCGTTACTATCGTATAATTTATTCGAGACGTCCACTAAAGAGAGCGAGGAAAATGGAACGGATCATCTGACTAGAGTGATTGACAGGCGTTTCTTCTAGTTTTTATTAAAATTTGGTTGGTTTTTAACTCGCCTTTTAATAAGATTATTTTTCATCAAAACAAATTTAATTTTAGATTTTGTTTTGTTTAGACATTGGAGCAGTGTCTTGATCCCCAGCAGCAACGGGGGCAAGAAACTATGTCCCTTCTGTGCCACTACTACGGACATACAGAGGCCATACGTGCCACTCATTTTCCAAGACAGATTCATTTAGTTTAATTATTCAACAATACGAGCCACATCTTCCTTTCTTGTAGTCTAAACCCGAAAAGGTTTCTGGTGGATTTTTTGTTTCTATTGCCCGGAATGTTAAAGTGACTGAGAGGAATCCATTTTCTCTTTCAGTAATTATTTCGGCCACTTCTAGCCATTTGATTGTTTGACTTCAAGCGAATTTGATGAATTGAGTTTCTATTTGATTCAAGTTTTATGAAATCGAAGAATTGATACTCAATTTTTTTCATTTGAATGGTACGATCTGAATTATTTCATTGGGTGTGTCAAAATTGTATGAGTATTCAATGAAGTAAATTTGGGCGGAAACTAACTTAGTTTAAGCATTGATTACTTTTTTCGGCGTTGAATTACAATTTCTTGCATGGCCCTTTTCTTCAATTGAATATGATAAAATCAATTTCTATTTGATGTCAAATTTTTTAAAGATGATGTTAAATATCGGAAATTAAATCATTCTTTTATACTCATTTCAATTTGGAAAGCGCCTGAAATTATAATATGGTAGTGTGCTGTTGCTTACTGATGAGCATTTAAAGTTGGCATTTTTGTTTTACAAAGGAAAACATTCTGTTTATCGATAAAATGTATCTCTTAAACAATCCTTCCCCTATCTTTCCTAGCAATGCATCACTGTCCCCTAAATTGTAATTGTTAAAGATTCGAGGAGAGCTTAAGAGATCCGATAAATTTGCGACTTGATTGGAAATGATGCTTAAGATGATAGACTATGGAGCGTACTCGAAGGGTGAAAATTGAAAATGATTTAAATGCTCATTATTTAAAGCGGATAATTTTGTTCTCAAAAAACATGCAGTTTTGTTTGGGTATTTGAGTAACAGGCAATCTAATGTAGCAATTAGAGGAAATTAACCGGAGCAGTTATTGAATTTTCTATTCTTCGTTTTCAGTGACAGCAGTCTTTCATTAAATTGATCTACGTAGTTAAGATTTCATTAGAACATATGTTCTCGGCACTCTGATTAAAAAGTATTTTATAGGTCTATGAAATTGATAATTTTGTCAAAATAAGTGTAGAATTGGAGATTCTAATGAAAATCGGCTAAATTGCAAGTGTGTCTTGGATAGCATTACCTTGAATTTAAAGGTACAGAAGTTTAGGCTACGATAATTTAATGGCCCAGTTGAGTGATTATTAGCGTAAGGTGAAAGAATCAGGACAGTCAAAATTTAAACAAGTCCAGGTTATAAAGTCATTATCGATCATTTTCGAAAAACCATAAATTAGGTCTTTATATACGTGTAGCAACATCCTTCACCCTCACACGCCCCTATCTAGCACTACTATGGTCCTGCAAGAAGTTGGAGATATCAGCTTCCCGAAGATCTCAAAAATTGCACCAAACCCCCATATATTAAGATATGCTATAAAAAAAGTTAGACACACGAAAGAAACACATGCAACCTTAGAAGACCGGGAGATAAGAGCTTCCGAATATACAGCGCTGATAAATGCCCTAAGTAAACATTCCCCTATCCGCTGACAAATGCAGGGAGCTATAATTTTGGCATATGGTTGGTAATGTCAAGATACATCATGTGTAATAAATTGAGTGCAATCGGATGGGTGGAACGGAAGTTGTTAACACTTGGGAAATACCAGCATAGACCGGAAGTGGGCAGCTTACGCAAAATAATGAGCGAGGGCATATTGATTTTATGGCGGGAATAGACACCAGAATCCAACCCCGAAAAAAGACTCCTGCTGAGTGAAACCCCTCCGGCGACTCTTTCCTGTGTTAATAGTGCTTTCCCGGGAAAGAAGATAATAGACCTTGAAAATGTGATAACTTGAAGTATTAACGGGATGTGGATGACACTTGGTAGGTAGGACAACTATGCTATTCTGAACCCCAATATGGATGATGCACCCCGGGCTGACCTTTTATTGATCTTTGGGCGTTCAGGATCAAGTTTGTATAGGAAACCTCAGGATTAACATCGGAAAGTGACGTATTCCCCAGCACCAATTCTCTGGAAATGGGAAGTGGTCACCGTACCAGTAATTGAGAAGAAACTTATATATTGGAAACTGAAGCAGAAGTTGATAGGGACATATCTTTTACAAGGTAACATTGTAGTAGTGAAATGAAATATTGTGAACTTGGCTAACATTGGGTTCAAGTTAGCTTGGCGAATGAGCTATTAATATAAAATCAATCAGACTAAAGAAAAGGAGTCCCAGAGGAAATTGACAGTGATAGTAGCTTGACTTTGATAGATTGATAGTGGGTTCCCCGAATAATATGAATGAACAGGATTTTCACTTAGATTCACGGAGATGGCTTTTTGCCACAATTTGACCCCTAATCGGGATTGGAATAGAGTATAGACGGGAATTTAAGATGCTTGAAATGAAATAGCGACCCACAAAAAGGGTCTTTCCCTATCCCCGGGAGGTCCGAACGTTAATGGGATAACTAAAAAAAACCTTAGGATTTCGGTTAATCAAACATAACCTGGTTCAGAGGTGAAATTGGACTTGATATTTGCCTAACTTAGATAGAGAAACCTACAATGAACTCGGAAATTAAGAGTAAAGTCATCAGAAGAAGAAATCAACCAAGACCTTGCGAAAGGAGTACTAAAAGAATGACAGGACTTGTAGGGACGACATAACTCTAACTATAACTAAAACACAAACAGGCACAGGCAAACAGCATAGTGATTGACAAATAGCCTACCCGTAGGGAGAACAAGGAGAGCGAAGTTAGTAGCTAGTTGGTTCTGAGAGTTAGAGAATGAGAAACTGTGAAGTCAGAGAGATCATTTAAAGTACCTCAAAGGAATAGTGAGCCGTAGAGACACTTGATTTCAGCAGGTCGAACTGAGTAGTTGTGTGGAATTACTGCGTGTATATGTTTAGTTGGGATTCTCTAGAAAGAGAATCATATAGTTGAGTTAGTAGGGAGTTAGTAAGAAATTATGGAATTGTGCTGATAAATCGCAGACCCTTTCCTTTGATTAGATTATTATAATTTTTTCTGGCCACTTAGAACCTTCTGTTTATTTTATACGAATTCAATTCCCATTGAAGTTCTTGCGATAGTATTGAGTGGACGAGACAGCCCAAAGACCAATACTTTAAGGGCGCAAGTAACAGAATACAGTGCGCAATAGTTGCCACCAACTTAGCCCTTTCAGGATTGTGGATAATAGTGAATCTCGGTCGCCCTGCTGAATTCATTACCGAAAGGACCACTTTGCGGTGCCGTTAATTAAGAGTGTGAACGGACCTAGAGAAGCAACCCCCTAAATCTACAATAAGAAACATTCGTTATTTCTAAATTTCCATATGAAAATTTAATAACAAATAGATACGGGCCACTTTTTCATTTTGTTAATCTTTCGGCTTTTTTACCGCGAGATTTTTTCTCAGCATAAGCTACGTGGGTGTTAATGAGGTACCATTCATTTCCGGTTGTGTTTTTATGTTAGCTTGTAATTGTTTTTCGAGGCCTGTTAAAATCGCAAAACATTAGGTTGTGTATTCGATCTGGACAACCATTATTTGATAAGGCCTTTCTAAGCGATTTGAAACTGAAATAATCTTGCCCGTACCAAAATTTTATGGGTAAAAATTGATAATAATGTGTTTTTGTTGACTCAAATATTACCTATTACGGCTATTTTAGAGCACGTAATGGGTTTTTAATCCATTAGAATCGATTAAAGTATGTAATCCAACATGATCTTTTCAAATCCTAGATACATTATAATTAAATGTTTCCAAAAAAATCCATGTGAAGCCAATTGTTTGCTGAACATTCGGAATAAGCTAACATACAGCCCAATTCTTGAAAGCATGCAGACAATGTAAAATTTAAAAAAAAACAGAGCTTTAACTTGACATAATTTTTCATGAATCTTCAATTCTTTGTTGTTGTATTTTTTTTTGTGAATTGTTCTCCAAATACTCGCAGCCGTCAATATAGTATGTAGTCCATTTTGGAGGGTAGGTAGGATGTAGGACGAACAGCCCATTCCAGGTGGTGGGCAAGACGAACAGCCCATTTCAGGTGGTGGGCAAGACGAACAGCCCATTTCGGGTGGTGGGTAAGACGAACTCCATTTCGAGTGGTGGGTAAAACGAACAGCTCATTTCGGGTGGTGGTTAAGAAGTGTTGTCCGTTGGATGGCAATAAAACAAAAAAAATTATCCTAAGTTATTGCTAACACTAATTAGTTGAGCATAATAAGTTCAGCTCAAGTTAATCCTAACGCGTTTACTAGTTAAGCAACCACCAACTCTCCCCACAATAACTGAAATAACTGATACTATTCAAATAGGGGTAGTTGATTTAAGCCTTTTAAGAAGTCCCAAAACAGGGGATTTTTTATAAGATGGCCAACGCGAGGAGCCTGTATCTTTTATTAGTTTTCACCGATTAGTCGGAATAGCAAAACTGGCACAGTTGAGAATAGCAAAAACTTTGTGCCAGTTGAGAAAACTGGTGGAGGTGGAGTTGAGGCAGCAGAACAAGACGCATTTGCTTGTACATACTCGGGACATTATCAGAATCTTCTACAGGAGTCAGTTTAATTACGTGAAGACAGTGGGCTTCAGAACAAACGTCTCCATCTTGCTTGGATGGTTTGTACCACCCACATACTTAAAATACCTCAGGCTTATTAACAGCCCTCACAACTTCATTAACAGTTTGTTTAAACACAAAAAGATCAAATGTTTGGCATGTTGAATTCGAATCCTTTGGGGTTGGCAGCAAAGATGGCGAGCGCAGATACGCTTTGCAGTTCTGCTACTGATGATGGGCAGTGCATGTTTTCCGCATTCTCCCATGAAACTCGAGCGCTCAAGGCACTCCGATTCCTGTGAGATTTCTTTAGACAGACACAACCGTTGCTTTTGCCCTGCATACCTTGCCCACCATTGCACATTATTCTGTCACAATAATCGGCTTTTACTTGAATTATCGTCATCATTTCCAAACTTATTGGTACGTCCATATGCATTAGCGATGTGTCATTATGAAGTGGAATGATTGGCTCATCTGTCGCCATCAGCAAATTACCGACTTCCATGACTCCTTTTATATCGACCTTTAGTAAAAGCACAGGCTTCGCCGAGGGCAAACGCGCGCTATACCTGAAGTGCACCGCCGATGCCTGAGGCGACTTCGTAAATAAAGCGCAGGTTTTACTACTCTCG